CGGCGAAGCTGGTCGGTGCCCGGCGGCGGCCCTCCCTGCTGACAGCGCCGAGTACGCGTGGCCTTTCTTCTTTCCCACCGCCTGCGCCCTCCCCGGGCCCCCAAGCGCGAGAGACCGGCTCTAGGACGGAGCCCATGAGGTGGTCGAGGCTAGGACACCGTGTCTGTGTGTGGTTCTTCCAGAGAAATGCGGTTCCCAGTGCTGACTTTAAAGGATATTTTAATGGTAACTTTTGTTCCCCTCTTCCAATTGAAAAGGAAAACGAGGCGTGAAGGGTTTGAAGGCCAGGGAAGTGTCCAAGAAAGCCACCCTGCCTAGGGCCAGGTTTCCCCAGGCCCCTCGTACCTCGTGAAGCCGTTATCACGTGACCTCGGCCTCCAGCCTGGGCGTCTTGTTCTGCTCAGCTGAAAGCTGAGGACGGTCCTCTCCATCCGTAACTGGAGGAGTATTGATCAGCTTCTGAGTCTTCGGAGGAGCCAGTTTTGCTTTCAGAATCACGTTGTCCCTGAAGCTGGAGAAAAATGGCCTGCCTGTCAACACGTGCTCCTCTGCAAAGGTTACCTCTCCACAGTGAGTGGCCTCGCCAAGCCGACATCAGACATCACGCTAGAGCAGGAGCTGGAAAGGTGCCTGCGCTTTCTCCCAGCTCTTTCACCGCCCTATTTCATAGGTGTCTCTGTCAGGAAGGCCGGATCCATAAGCAGGAAAGACGCAAGCAAGAACTCCTGGAATAAGGAACCAAACCTGCACCAAACCCGCTGTCTCATGAAAAAATTTCATTCAGTCCCTATTTGTTACCAATGCAGAGATTTGTATGTTTTTACATCTCAGTGCTTGTTCTTCCTCCAAATAGAGCACCTACTAACAATACTAAGATGCGCCTTGTCTCATAAATAAAGTCATGATTTATTTTTTGGTGAAGACACTAGGTCCAAGATTCCCCAAGTAAGCATCCCATATTACTTGTGTGAGCTGTATGTACGTGTGCATGTACTTCTTGTCTGTTACTACATCATAAAAACAAGAGTGAGATGCAATGTCACTTTTTTGTTGGGAATCGTTGGCTTAAAAGAGACTACCTTGTGGGCCAGCCCCTGGCATGGTGGTCAAGGCAGCTGAATCCCACATGGCTGACTGCATGGTTGGAGTCTTGGACCTCGTCGCTTCCATTTCTGGACAATATGCCAGATACATGTGTGCCCAAAGTCCCAAAAGGATGAGAGATGAAGAAGGGACTATGGCATGACCATCTCCCATGGGGAGTGATTTCTCCCTTTCTCTCTGTCCATCTCTCTCCAGTAAGTATGCATGTCTGGCAGTTAAATAAAAATAACGAAGAGTGTACTGTGAGTATAGAGAATTCACTTTAGGGGAAGCAAAGGGGATCTGGTAAGCACCTTACAGAGAAGGCAACTGGTCCCCAGAACAGCTGCAGACACTGGCCATGAGACTGCTCAGCACCACTACGGCTCCATGTAGCAGGAGGGATTCCTCTATTTAACACTAGTTAATGATTCTCCCAAGCAACTCCCAGGAGGCCAGCTAGCAAATATGCTTTCATCTATCCTTCCTAGATAGAAGCCACCAACCCTGCAGTGAAGGGAGCTCCCTGGCTGCCCACACAATATAATTTTTAACAGACCACATAGCTTCACGTGCGCCCAAGTAGCATCCTCCACGGCCGGCCACAACATGGCTTCCTTGAGATACTCTCCAGGAAAGTTAACCGTCCTAAAGCAAAAAAAGCCAAGAGAAATGCACTGTTTCCAGAAGGCTACCATTAAAACAGACTAGGTGCCTGGAAGCCAAGGTGGGCAGCCAATCCTGTCACACCAGCTGAATTTCTTAGATTCACTAATGGAGGCCCGCAGGCCACCACTGCCACAGTGAGAGCATATATATCTAGTGGTTCTTGAATAATGTTGAAGAGCCCTTTTTATTTTCATGGCCAAGGGTGGTTGTTTTTTTCTTTTTCTTTTTTTCCCCTAATGTATCTAACTAGCATACCAAAGCCTAGTATTACAAAAAGACTTATTTAAGGTGAATCTGAGTTAAAAAAAAAAAAAAAAGTCAATTTAAAGAGAAATCTTTTTTTTTTTTTAAGAGAGATGTTTGCTATAGGGCATGTGTGCTTGCCAGAGAGACACAGAAAGACAGAGAGACAGAAACGGAGAAATCACCCCCTCAGAGGGGATGGTGACACTGCAATCCCCTCTCATCTATTCTCTGTTTGGGATCTTGGGCACACATGCACATGTGCCCAGTGTAAGTTTTAAGCCACTGCGTCTGGGAATTGAACCGCAGTCGACTACATGGGAATCCAGCGACATAACCATTTTGCCATCTCAAAGAGAAATCTTACTAAAAGTAACAGGGTGGCAAAATAGTCGTAACTTTTATAATAAATAAAGTCAATAAGGTACATGCAGAAACCTGTTTTTAATTCTTTCTTTGAACTTTTTAAGAGTCTGCTAGACATGAGAAAATCCCATTTTAACATCTTTTTTAAAAATTACTGGGTCTTGAGAAAGTTCAATCATGCAGAACAGAGCCCCTAGTCAGGAGGGCCTTATCAAGGGGAATGGGGGCAACAGCTACCGGGTAGCAGGACAGGCATGCTAGAAGGGCAGGTCTGGACTCTGGGCAGCCAGTGTGGGTTCCCAGCTGGGAAGGACAACCTGAGAACTCACTGCCTTTTTTAATAAGAAGCAGACTCCAACAACTCACTGATACCACTGATGAAAATGTGGACTGGACCACAGAAATTCCAATCCCTGTAACCCTCTTCAGGCTTGTTTCCAAAAAAAAGCTGGAGAGATCTACAGGAATTCTATGATGCTTTATGGAAGACACTTATCAAAGTAGCTCTACTGTCACTTGACTATGACTTAGGGAAGATTTTTTTCTTAATATTTTTTCTTTGCCATAGGATATATGCATTTGCCAGAGAGAAAGTGGAAAATTGCCCCCCCGGGGGGATGGCTATGTTACAATCCCTTCTCCTCCATTCTTCTCTCAGGATTTTGAGCACACACACACATGTACCTGACGTGAGTTTCAAGGCATCAGGTCCAGGACTCAAACCATGGCTGGCCATGTGAGAGTCCAGTGCCTTAACCACCATGCCAAACCACCATGCCACCTGTTGGTCCCTCAGGAAATACTTTGATGCCAACTCCAGACATCGACATGCCAGCCCCACCACCATGCAGATACCCGGAAGCCCACTCCTGACTTCCCCCTGAAGATCTGCAGCTGATGACAAGCAGAAGATTCTTACATGCATTAGGAAGGGTCTTCCCCGGGATCTGGGGTTCCTCTGGATGTCCAGTGCTGGCTTTTTAGGTCTCATGCCTAGGATGAAGAGACAGTCACTATGAAATGCTTGTAGCCAATAGTCTACCACAGTATGAATAAATGAAATGTCCTAACATTCCAAAGCCTTTTCTTTACTCATTATTTCCAAACCCTCACATGGAATTGCCCCACTCCTGCCACTACCATGGCCTCCTCATGTGTACACTCGTTTTCAGAGCTGCTGCTGAGTGGTCTCTGCTGGATTTCTTCTTCCTGCTATTTCTACATCCCACCTTCCTTCTTGTGAGGAGGATCCAGTGAAGTAACGCAGTGGGTTACTTTTCTAGGGATATGGGTACGGAAATACAAAAGACCTTAAGTGACCACAGACTCTGAAAAGTATGAAAATTCAGGTGAATAGCATGATTAAAATAACAGCAGGGCTGACTGCAGTTGGGTAGGGGTAATGAAAGGCTGAATCTTCATGGCAAAGCCCTGGGTTCACATCCCAAGGTCTCCCTGTATTCATGGAGTGTGCGAGTCACCATGATCCGGGCCAGCTGAGGCTGGGGCGGATCTTGGCATGAGGACCTGGTTGGGGGTATCTGTTTCTCTTTCTCTCTCCCTCTCCCTGTTTCTCTCTCGTAAATGAAATTCAATAAAAATAAACTTTAAAAAAAGGAAACAAGATAAAGACAGAAAGTAGGTATAAAGTAGTAGTTTATGATGGGACTTACGAGATTTTCCATGATTTGGAGATGTCGGAGAAAAATCACCACAACCCCATATTTGGTGTGCCTAGAGAGAAAAATAAATACCAACCACTTTTGCGATGATAAAAATCTAACCAAATTCCTTTACCAGTGTTGTTTTTTCCTGCCTACTCCAAAAGCACTTTGATGCTGCTATCAAAAACCACTGTAATAACAATAAAATGGGACAACAAATTGAGGAAATTATTTCTAACATACTATAGGCAAAAAGGTATAATCCTAATATGCAAATAGCTTATATAAATCAACAAAAACAGCTAAACACCTAAATTAAAAACTAGGCAAATGAAGGATACAGCCTTCGTCATTCGTTGAGTCCATGTCTGAATCCACCTACTCACTAAAATGTATGTGTAACCCCAAAGTCAGTACTGACAGCACTTTGAAGTTATTTGTGTACATGCACAGAGTGTCAAAGGGTCAGAGTCACCTGACATGCATGTTCCCAGCTGAAGCAAGCAAGGCCTTCTTTTTTTTTTCCTCAAGAGAGAGATTTTTGCTAAAGGGTGCATGTATTCACTGGATAGACAGAGAGGCAGAGAGACAGAAAGTGAAAAATCACCCCCCAGGGGGATGACCATGCCACAATCTCTTCTTGGGATCTTGGGCATAGACGCACACACCCTGGCATGAGTTTCAAGCGCCCAGGTCCAGTACTCGAACTGCAGTCAGCCATGTGGGAGTCCAGCCATGTAACCATTACACCATATGAATATGCTGGTCCTGGGATTCTTAAAAAAGAATGATTTAATTTTCATTTATTTTTATTTATTTATTTATTTTAATTTGACAAGAGAGAGACAGAATGAAAGTGAGAGAGATAAAAAGCAGGCCTCCAGATCCAGGACTCAAACCATAGTCAGTCATGTGGGAGTCCAGCACCCTCAACCACACCACCTCTCAGCCTCCACAGGATTATTTTTTTAAAGCTAGTGTTAGAGAGTCTATATGAAACAGACACTCTCGTGTACTACTGGAACATCAGGCCAATTTTTGGGAAAGTAACTAATATAAAAATAGCATGCCTTGGGGCCGGCAGGTGGCATAGTGGTTGGGGCATTGGACTTCTGCAAGACCGACTGTGGTTTGAATTCTGGACTTCATGAGTTGCTTTCTCACGTTCTCTCTCTCTCCCCCACCCCAACTCACTCTCTCTCATGATCTCTCTAGTGAGCACACATGCTCTGTAACAAATTGAAGAATAATGATAATGATAAATAAAATTAAATAAGGAATTATTTTGTTTAAAAAGCATGCCTTCTGACCCAAGAATTCTACTTATAGGGATGTATACTCAAGAGGTGATTTTACAGTTACAAAAAATGTATATTCCATCTTTTTTATCGTACCATTGTTTACAGTAGTTATAAATTTGAAAAACCTAAATGCCTAGTAATACGAAATATTTTTAAATTGTGACATATCTGGCAAATGTAATACCATTTACCTATTAGAAATAATGTCCAGCAATTACATTTATTAACACTAAAAGATGTCCATGAAAATACTGAGTGACAGATGCAGATTACAGTGGCCACTGTCCAGTATGCACGCATCAATACTCCGTGTGAGCTTAAGTGCATGTCTTTGTAAGTACGGGGAGACATTTTTAAGGAAGTTTACCTAAATGTAAGTGGTAATTATCCCTGGGAAAAGGGTAAGATCTCAAATAATTTTTACTTTTGTTTCTACTTCTCTGTATTCCTTGAAAGTTTACAGTCAGAGAAAAGCTGTTTGTGTTTTTTTTTTTTTTTTTTTGAGAGATTTTCACTGTAGGGCTCGTGCGCTCGCCAGACAGACAGAGACATAGAGACAGAAAGCGAGAAATCACCCCCCAGGGGGGATGGTCACGCCGCAATCCCCTCTCCTCCATTCTCCTCTCGGGATCTTGGGCATGCACGCACACGCGCCCGGCGTGAGTTTTTTAAGCCACCGGGTCCAGGACACGAACCGCGGTCGACTTCGTGGGAATCCAGCGACATAGCCATTATGCTAACTGCTGGTTCCCAAAAGCCGTTTGTGTTTTTAGCTGCCAATATTTTACATAAAACTGTTGCCATGCACGGGAAAGAGAAAAAGTTGGTGACTATAATAAAAGCATACCATTATCAGTTATTCTCCATGATAACCTTGGTTATATTTGTATCACCTTACCTAATAGAAAGCTACACCCATAAAATGCACTAAACAATACATGTCTGATGAATGAATTTATTAGCGAAGTCATTCCAACACTATTTGTTCTGTTCCTTATGAATAACATGCAGCATGTGGTCATCTTAGCCCTTTACATGTAAATGATCACTAGGAAATGTCAGACTTACCACTTCATGCTTGACATCAAGTGAGTTTTTGAAAGCCCTGGTTATAACAGGGAATAGACCTGTATGTAAATGAAGAGGGAAAACCAAGATTAACCAAGTGTCAGGATAAAATTTCTTCCTTTTTTTTTAAAAAAATAATTATTTAATTTTATTTATTCATTCATTTATTTTAATTTGACCAGAGAGAAACAGAGAGAGAGAGAGAGAGAAAGTGAGAAAGCAAGCCACCAGGTCCGGGACTCAAACCATGGACGGCCATGTGGGAGTGTCCAGCGCCTTAGCCACTATGCCACCTGCTGGTCCCCATGGATAAAATTTTTTAAACCCTCAATGAGGCTATGATCAAAATGTAATTTGACAAATTGTACACAAATCACTGGCTTCCTATTAGCATCTGGTCAACAGAAAAGGGAGAGTCAGGTAACACAAAACCACAACTAGAAGTTAAATTCCTCGTAAGCCTTCCAGAACTTTTGGGTGGGGTTAAACATTTCTATGTCTGGAACATTCTTGTGTAATACACAGCTTACGCTCTTTCAATCAGAGGAAACCAAGACAGTTCTGTCAATTTTAGTTACGGTCTTGAGAAGCTTGGGTATATTTTTAGATGATACAATTGAGGTATAACTTACATACCACGAATTGGCCCACTTTAAATATATAGTTCAATGATTTTGAGTACATTTACCTCATTATGTAACAGTCATAGCTCCATATGGTTCTAGAGCATTTTCATCACCTCAATAAGATCCCTCATTCCCATTTACTGATGATCCCCTTTCCCACCACCGGTGCCCAAAAAACCCCAGTAATTTCCTTTCTTTCTCTATAGATTTGCCTTAACTGGATTTTTCATGCAAATAGAATCATACATTCTACAGTCTTGCATACCTAGCTTCTTTTACTTTCCATAACATTTTTGAGGTTCATCCACATTGTAGTTATTCTAGTATTTTGTTCCCTTTTTTAAAAATTACTGAATTGTATTCCATTGTATGAATATACCAGATTTTGTAATTTATTTGCCAGTTGATAGACATTAGGGTTGTTTCCAGTTTGGGCTACCATGGATAATGATGCATGAACATTCATATGCAAGTGTTTGTGTAGACATATGTTTTCATTTCTCTTGATCAAAAACCTAGGTGCAGAATTTCTGGATCCAATGTTAAAAATTATGTTTTAACTATTAAAGGAACTGCCAGGGTATTTTCCAAAGTGACTATACAATTTTATATTCCCATCAACAGTGAATGGAGTTTCCAGTATTGCCATATCTTCACTGACATTTGCTATTGTCTGTCTTTGTAATTGTAGCCATCCTAATGGACACAAAGTGGTATCTCACTGTTTTTCATTTGGATTTGCCTAATGATTAAATCATGTCAAGTTCTCTGGTATATTTTTATTAATTTTTTTTTAATTTGAAAGAAAGTCTTGCTTGGCATATGTTAGAGTCTGGTCATTGGGGAAGAATCAAGGGACAGAAAGAGCCTTTGGCAAATACTCATTGCTTTGTACTATTTTCTGCTAATAAACTTTCTTTTGCGCATGGTATCTTAAGCTAGAATAAAAGAGCTGAACAATTATTTAGCTAAATAAGCCAATTGTGGTTCGAGTCCCAAATCTGGCAGCTTGAAACTCACTCCAGGCACATGTGCATGTGTGTCCAAGATCCTGAGAGGAGAATGGAGAAGGGATTGTGTCATGCACACCCCCGGGGAATGATTTCTCATTTTCCCTCTCACTGTCTCTGTCTCTCTCTTCCACCAGCACATGCGCCCTACGGCAAAAACCTCTAAAACAAACAAACAAAACTTTTCTATAACTGCAGTAAAAGCAGATGGATAAGAAGTTTGTCCGGCACAATTTGCTCTGATGTTTCATTTTCTGTAAATTCTTAGCCTTTCAATATCCCATAAGACTTTTATAAATCCCATAGGTCTAACTAGCTTTTAGTCATGCTTCCTTCCAACAATTACACTAGAAAACCATTAATTAGTAAAAAAACAGGATTCCATAATACTAAAGTTTTATGGAAAGTACATTTTATGCATTATGGAACAAACAACTCCCATGAAAACAAAAACAGACATTAGAACTTGGGCTAGACCACAGCATGAGATGTTTATACATGTGTGTTCATCTTTTAGTCAAACTTGGTCATTTTTCTTTTTTTTTTTTTAATTTATCTTTTTTTTTTTTTGGAGAGGTTTTTGCTATAGGATACATGCGCTCGCCAGAGAGATAGAAAGTGAGAAATCACCCCCCGGGGGGATGGCCACGCCGCAATCCCTTCTCCTCCATTCTCCTCTCGGGATCTTGGGCACGCACGCACACGTGCCCAGCGTGAGTTTAAGCCACCAGGTCCCGGACTCGAACCGCGGTCGACTATGTGGGAGTCCAGCAACATAGCCATTACGCTAACTGCTGGTCCCCAAACTTGGTCATTTTTCTAACTGAGCCAGCAGTCTCTCATTTTCCCTGGTCTGTTTATGGAGAAGAACACCAGTAAGCTCACATTATGTTGGAGAATGGTCAGCTAATGGTGTTTCTTACTTAGCGAGTTCACAGTTGACAAAATAGAGCTCACGGTGCAACTTGACCTTGGCAATTTTAGCTGGCCTTTTAATTAAGGACATGCTAGCATAGATTCACCTCTGTCCTTCCACTTCCTAGTCCTAGAATAATAACCATATTGGGCAATTTTGTTGATGAAACTATCTTAGTAACTGCCAACAAGTTCTACCTTAGATATGAAGTCCTTAAATGTGGGGCCAAACCTGATGGAACACGACAGGTTTCTAAAAAGTAAATTGTCTAGAGAACAAGTTGAGACTTGTGTGCATCGGCTCTTGCAGCATCAGAAAAGCTCAAGCTTAAAACATTCTTCTAGGTCTTCTCTTTCAATCATTTAGTCCTCCTACTGGGTGTCTATCATAGTACAACTGTCAGCCTTCTTTGGGATTCGGTTTTCTTTTCATAGTTTGGGGATAATGCAATCTCCCACCTTCTCATCTCTGCATTTCTTGAAACTTAAGAGTTTTATGAACATAAAACATAATGTTGGGAGAAGATAGAATGCTCTCCATCCTTTCTGAGTGCTGTATACACAAAGGAAAAGAATTGAGATTGAACATCGACATTTTTCTTAAAGAGAAATTTTGTGAGCTCACCAGGGAGACAGAAAGCAAGAAATCACCCCCCAGGAGGGATGGCAACGCCACAATCACTTCTCCCTCTATTCTCCTCTTGAGATTTTGGGCACACATGCCTGGCGTGAGTCTTAAGCTGCCGGGTCCAGGATTTGGACCGTAGTCCACTATTTGGGAGTCCAGTGATGTAACCATTATGCCATCTGCTGGCCCCAAACATTGACATGTTTAACCTGGAGTCTGTGGACACCATGGAAGGACCCACGATGTATGTGTGGTTGGCTCACATAAGTGGATATTTTATGAATATTTTCTGAAGATCAGGTCCAGAGCTTTTATCAGATTTTTTAAAGTCCCTCAAAAACATAAGGTATCCACTCCCTTAGAGTTGTCAACGATTGAGATGGATTACAGAGCAAATCCCTTCCCTGATGGACTTTTTTTTTTTTTTTGAGAGGTTTTTGCTATAGGGCGAATGCGCTCGCCAGAAAGACACAGAGAGACAGACAGAAAGCAAGAAATCACCCCCCAGGGGGGACAGCCATGCCTTAATCCCTTCTCCATACTCATCCTGGGCACGCACACACACATGAGTTTAAGTCACCAGATCTGGGACTTGAACCACGGTCAGCTACATGGGAGTCCAGCAACATAGCCATTACACTAACTGCTGGTCCCTCCCTGATGGATTTTTAAGAAGGCGGCACTCAATGGTCTGCATACCAGGTAAACATTATTTTATCAATGTTAACTTTCTTTTTTTTATTATTTTATTTAGCTGTATTTATTTAATCTGACCAGAGAGGGATAGAGCAAGAGAGAGAGAGAGAGAGAGAGGAAAGTGAGAAAGCAAGCCGCCAGGTCCAGGACCCAAATCATGGTCAGCCATGTGGGAGCCCAGTGCTCCTAACCAGCATGCCAGCTGCTGGCCCCAATGTTAACTTTCTTGAGTGTGATAACAATATTATGGTTATATAGGAGAACATTCTTACTCACAGATTCATATTAAACTGTTTAAGAATATACTGGTACGATGTCATTAATTTACTTTCAATAGTCCAGCTAAGAAGTATAAACAGGTATCAGTATACAGAGACTGAGATAACACAAAATGTTAACAGATGTGGCAAAATGTTAATAATCTTGGAGAGAGTAGATGGGTATTGTTTATACTATTCTTTCAACTTTCCTATAAATTAAAAAATAATAATAAATTAGAGTCCAGCAGGTGGCATCGTGGTAAAGAAGCTGGACTCCTGTAAGGCTGACCACAGTTCAAGTCCCACACCTAGTAGCTTGAAGATCACGCTGGTGGGGGTGTGTGCCTGCCCACAATCCCAGAAGAGGAGAGAAGGGATTGTGGTGTGGCCATTCCCCCAGGGAGTGATTTCTCACTTTCCCTCTCTTTGTCTCTCTCTGTCTTTCTAGTGAGTGCATGTGCCCTATGGGGGGAAAAAAACTTACTAAAAGTTGAAATCATGAAAGAATAAGGCATCCATTTATCTGCCTTAACTTCGCATCTATGAGTAAAGAAGACAACACTAATTATCCTATTTTATAGATGGCTACAACAGGTACAAAACAAAATTTAGGAAAACCAGAAAGTGGCAGCCTGGATTACATTTGAGCTGTCTCCAAGGACAGACCTAAAAACGATGCTTTACCGTCTGCCTACCTTCTCCCAACGTGACTGAGTCATTACACATCACGCAGGAGGCTCAGGGCTCGCCCACTGAGCCCCCTGTAGTGCCCACCGTGGTGCTCTTTCATGCTCATGGGCAGACTCGATCGCAGCCGCCTCCTGGCTGACGTTACGCTTGAGCAGTAAAGTGCACGCAGGAACAGATGGCATCTTGTGACCTTCTTAATAACAGGCTTGGCAGCCAGTGTTCCCCGGTGTCCGG